ATCGGAAGAACTAAAGTTTTTTTCTTTTAGTCATTGATTTGTACGGTTACGAAAAGAATATCTCATTAAATTGAAAAGAAATCATTTAGGCCTCGTTCACTTCGCGGATTCGAGTTTTCAATTTGAGCTGAGATGTGATATTTTCTTAGAGCTTTTCACTATAGAAGAAAAAGTTAGATGTGACCATTTTTTAGAGCTTTTTACTGTAGAAACCTAAAACTGAAAACTCGAATCGGTGAAATGAACGAAGCCTTAAATTCTCTTAGAAGAAAAAGAAAAAAAAAATAGAATACCTTCATAAATAAGTGGAATGACAAGAGAGAGGGAATATTAACAGGATCATGCCCGAATTTATAATTGTTGAAAACTCACAATACAAATTTATATTTTAAAAATTATATTTTGACCCTTAATTTTTATAAAATTACATTTTGACACTAAATTTTTTAAAACTTCTATTTTAAGCTTTTCAAAATAACAATTTGACCCTAAAATTTTTCAAAAATTACATTTTCACCCTAAAATTTTACATTTTGACCCCTATACAATACGACATGACACCAAGCACCTATTGTATTATGATAATACAACACAATACAATATAACACAATATTTTTTTATAAACTAAAGAGAATAGACAACTAGTATCTAGATTTGCCAAGACATCCCAATTAAGTTGGCACCCCTCTATAAACCTATCCTCTACCAAGTCCAATATAACACAATATACCTCATATAATATAATACGAAACAAGCTAAACATGGCCTCAATATTTATGAGATTTTCTTCCTTAATGCGAGTGATCCACAAATCCCATACTATTGTCTATAAGATTTGCAATTACAGAAAGATAACTTCCATGAGTTCTTTTATTTGAGAAATATTTCTGCACACTACAAATAAAATAGTGAGAAAAAATGATAATAAAAAGGAGAAGAATATAGTTATTCTTATTTTCAAGTACACAATTTCTGATATTATTCATTATTACAAAACAAGCACAACATCATGACGATACCGAAGGTAAAGGGAATACTAGAACTAACAACTTCAAACAGGACAAAACCTGATATAAAGCCAGACTCACGTAAAAAAAAAAAAAAAGAAAGAAAGAAAGAAAGTCGACAAATGCAGACCCGAGAAAAGCGTTACCCAAACAAGCAACAACTTGCGGCGTAACTAATTTCGCAAAACAATTATTTATCCACCAGTACAACTAAATGATGGATTGAATACAAGATAACAAGTACACATGCATGCACAACGTAACACACAATACGCTTTGCTTTCGAGATATATAGCTAGCTAGATATATATTGCTAGGATGAATATCTTAACCTTCAAGATAGGAAAACGATCTTAATCCCACCAATGGTGACGTTGCCAGATTTGGGCACCAAAGTGACGAACACATTGTCATCATCTTCAGCTCCCACGTCCTCGAGCAACTCCGTTATTCCAAGCGTCAATTTTACGTTGGGCATCTTCTTCTTGTTTGTGGAGAAGTGCGGAACGGTGGTAAAACTTCCGGCAAACTCTGACTTGCCAGGCCCACTCTCGTCCTCGTCGTTTATGTAAACATCAAACTTCACTGCCTTAGTCATGTCAAAGTCGATCCCCTCAACCACCAACACTTCCTCCTCCTTTTCCTTCTCCGCCTTGCTCCTCTTGCCCTTCTTCGGCCTCGTCACCAACACTGTTGTCTTCTTCGTCAGTTTTATAGGGAAGTCGGTTAGCGGGGTAAAGCCACCGCGCGACTGATCCGCAGATCTTGTTTGCCTTCTTAACAGGGAAGAAGATTTTGCCCTTGGCTTGTTGTACAACCACGGAAGGTCGACATGTTCGTAGACATATCCGAGCATCCTAGTGTCGAGGCAGTCTCTGACCTTAACTCGGACGAGCTGCGCATTCTCATCGTAGAATAAAAACGTGGAGTTAAGCCAATCAGGGTGGGTGATGTCTCTATTATTTTTCCCCGGTAACGATTTCCAAATGCACCACATCCGGTCGACATTGCCGTGGAGAGCATAAAACATCGGATCTCGTCCCGCCGAGTAGAAGTTCCCCATGTCTTCACCATTCGGATTTTTCTCGCTCCCACTCCAAACGTGGATATTATTGTGGGGAGTACTTTCAATCGTGCCCATTTGGTTTACAAGCGCTTCCCCGCCCTTATATTCGCCGCCGAAGAATAGACATGGTTTTGTGGCACAAGACACCATTTGCCTATACATCGTGGCGAGATTATCCTCCACCAGCTGCTTATAAGGCTTTGGCGGTTTACAAAGATTAGCTTTGTCGTATTCGAGGTCGAGCCCATAGGGAGGCTGATGCTTAGGGCTTCGGTTTACATCATAGAGATCGGAGTTTGGATCGGAGGTGAACATGGCCGGCATTGTCATGCCGTCAGGATGGTCCCAGTTCCAAAACGGAATAGCGAAATCCGGGTCACCGATGAGCTTCCCTAAGATCCTCTCGTAGAAGTACAAGTACCAGCGGTGGAAGGGAAAGAAGAGCCAATTGAAATGGACTTGGAGTTCAACACCAGGATAGCCATCCTGGTCGTAGCCAAAGTTGCAGTAGGCACAATGAACATCAGCCTGTTGCTTGAAGCTCCGTGGGTCAGTGTCCTCCAAACCCCTCATCATACACAGGGCTTCGTTGTACTTGGCTATGTACTCCTTGTCAGCCTTGTGAGCCGGTGGTCTACCTCGCAACTTTGTAAAAGGTGGCGGCTTGTAATCTATGATATCTGAGCTTGATTTTGGCGCACAACATTTGTCGGGTAGGGGAGTGCCGTCCAGCAACTTCGGTTGGTTACAAATATTTGTGTCGGGTCCATTCACCGGATTGGCGAGGGCTAGAGGGTTGGATCCAAGCCCCGCCATGCCGAGACCGATGAGAACGTTCCTCCTCTCTACCTTTCCGAGTTGAGGCCGATATTGCGACGATGTCTCGTCGAAGCTTTGGTTGCTGCTGGCATGATTATTGCATGAGATTGACGATCTTCTAATTATATGGCTTTGTCTACGCTTGGTGTTGAGGGTTGTTTTGGTACGAGCGGGGAAGGGACATAGAGAAGTGGTGGTAGCGAGTGGTTGAGTGAGAACGAGAGATCCCATATTGCTGCTATGAAGTTTTTGGTTTGGACGCAATGCTATGATCTGGAGGAAAAGGGAGAGTCCCTTTTTTATAGTGAAATTCTTAAAATTAATCAATCGTGTTAATCAAATGATAACGGCTAATTAATAATAAATTTATGTTTTCGCAGACGGATTTCATTTATAGCTAGTGTTGCTTTGTACAAACTTAAATGTTTTAGGAAAAAGCAAAAAACGCAGATGAAAATTAAACACATTTTTGCATTCATTTTTGTCCTATGTTTGTCATGTAGCAGCTAACTAAGGGCTAATTTAGTATTGCTGTGGTTTTTACAATAATTGTTGTTAGTTGTGATAGGTGAAAAATCAGCTGTGATAAAAAACAGTTAAGTGTTTGGTAAATTGAATTTTAAAAGTGATGTCACTTTAATTAGAGTTGTGTTTAAATAATTGATAAATTATAATTCTAAATTGTTGTAGACTTTAAAATGACCATAAACATGGAGACAAATTGTGTTATATTTATATCATAAAAAGTTAATAAAATGATTTTTTTCTAAATTTTGCTATATAATTGCACCGACACGTTTTAGATTTTATGGGCCAATAGTATTTTAAGGATTTTCATGTGATTTTCTTCTCAAAACCCAATATAATATTTATGCAAATGAACATAAATTGTGAAAAATGTTGCAAAGCCCATTTCTTCAAACACCATTTACAAATATATATATATATACACACACATACATGTATATATTTCTTTCTTTGATGATATAAAAGAAGAGAGAGTTTCTGGAAAAAGTAAGGAGGGCAAATTTGATAATATAATTTTATTATTAAGTTATTTAGGTAGATTGATTATCCCGTATGAAAATGAACCTTTCATTTTCCTGAATTAATGAATTTCAAATGAGCCTATATAGGTCATAATGCAGTAAATTAATATCTGATCACTTTATACACACACACACACACACACATATATATATATATATATATATATATATGTATGTGTGTGCATCGTTTTTTTGAAATTAATGAATATCAAATGAACCTAGTCATAATGCACTAGATTTATATCTCATTACACGTTTCACAATATATGTATGCATATTTGATTAGCAAAAGAAATATATGTATGCATATATACATATATATATATATATATATATATATATATGTATTCCTGTATGAAAACCTTTCATTTTCCTAAAATTAATGAACGTTAAATGAGTCTCACGTTATCCTGAAATTTTAATTTTTCGTCCACTACAATCTAACTCTGAACGTGGGCCAACTTTAAGGGCCGGCATAACATGTCAAATTTTAAAGAATGACATGTCAAATTTTAAAGAATGACATGTCAAATTTTAATGAAGTCATGTCATGATATGAGCATCTACCAACATGTTAACATAATGTAAAAACAAAAGGGATCTCTCTCAGCGAGTCAGAATATCATTTCTCTACCTCCCCAACTGCTTTGCACATATTTTTATTGTTATTAATGCTTTGCAGAGGACGTTGGTACAAATGATTGGAACTCCTCATGCCCATTTTCTCATTTTAATTGGTCACTTTACTCTTAATACTATTGGAGAGAAAATCTAGTTATCCCTAGATTATTATATAGAAGAGTTAAATATGGTAGGTAGCAATTACATTGCAAAAACACACGTGATTCCCATGTTATTGACTCTCTTTTCTTTCTCTAGCAAGTTGTCTGTGGCCCATTGTAGTACCCAAACTTTTTGAACAACTTCCAGCTTTGTAATTAAGGAGTTATCATGAGGTTAAGTTTTGCGTAAGATTAGAAAGGGAATCAGAATGATTTTTAGTTCAAGGTTTCATTTAGAGACCTTAAACTTTGAAATTTGTAATCCCAAATGTTTATATAAGGATTGTTCCGTAAAAAGGATTATTATTTTTCTGTCTTATATATTTTATTCTAGTTAAGTTAACATTTCTTTCGAATTGATAGATTATTACATCTATAAATTCTGCCCTATTCTAATTCATTTAGGCCTACAAACAGCAAAGTTGAAACCACTGTACTGTATATAATTTGTGGTTATATGCATAATCCCTCAATTCACACATGATTCGAGTCCATCTTGTGATGCTGATGACTCCAAAGGGCCCAAGTCCCCAAAGTCGAAGAGCAGCGGAATCAAAAGGACGCACATGTGATGTTGAAATATGTATCTTATTTTAAAGTGTTTTCTGATTTTTCAAAACATGTCAAAACACTCTTGATATATAGAAAATCATTCAAAATACTCTTTTCATCCATCTATGTGTATCATTTGAATAGAAAATACACACATAACAGTTGAAATGAGTATTTAAAAGTTAATTAAAGATATTTAACTCATAAAAACTAATAATATTAAATATTAAATAAAATAAAATGACTAAGTATTAAAAAATACTAAAGAATCACAAACTAATAATACTGAGACTTACTTTTAAATAATAAAGTAGTAGCTTCGGCTTTTCACAAAATAATAATAATTTAAACCAATAGACCTAGTAGGTCCAATAATTACTTTCGAATAGGTTGGGGTGTTTAAGAGAGTTTTTATTTTTATTTTTGTCAATTAAAGATAAATCAACGCTATAACTCTTCAATAAATATTTAGAATAATATTTTTAAATAACTTAAATGAGTCACAATGATTTTAAGTCTTATAAGAAGCAATAAGTTCATAATTATGTGTTATTCAAACTTTAACAACGTTTGATTCATTAATTCAAAATCATAATTTAAAATTATTTTTGATTTATATGTATTTTTTATGAAAAAAATATTATAACGAATCACGAATTATAATTCAAATTATGACACGAATACACTAACTAAACGCATCTTAGAGACTAACCACAATAACCAAAAGCTTAAATATGAAATTCTTTTTCACACAAAAACAAAAATTCTGAGGCCATCTGAGCTGGCTCTAGATGTGTGGGCTCGCCAGGGCTGGGCGGCGCAGGTAGGTTGGGTGCGGAGGCGGAGCTTGCGTTCACGGGAGGATGGGTGAGCCACTGTCAGTTTTGGGCTTTTCATGGGGAAAAGGGCTTTGTTTGGTTTACTGGTGGGAACTGGATCGGAATTTTTCTGGTGGGAACTTGATCGGAACATTTAAGCTTGTCGCTCATGGTTATTATGGGGAGGCGTCATGGGAACTTGATCGGAATTTTTTTTTTTTTTTTTTTAGTCATTATTTGTACGGTTACGAAAAGAATATCTCATTAAATTGAAAAGAAATCATTTAAATTCTCTTAGAAGAAAAAGAAAAAAATAGAATACCTTTAGAAAAATATGAATTTGAAATGTACAGAAAGTTTTATTCTTGGTTCAAGAGAGAAAAATGAGGAACGGTGAGGGTGAGGATGGGCTGATGGCTGTGGGGTATAGCAGAAGATAAAAGATTTTTTTAAAAAAAAATTGTTTTGTGGTTCCCCGACAATTAATGCTATCATTGCCCAACTATTGAGGGCACCATAGGTTCCCCTAACTTTATTCTTTCGCCTTAACATATATGACATGTCTACTTTGAGGTATGAGTGTGAAATGGGATTGGTGGGTCCAAAATTAAATTTGAAATTGAAGAATCACATTAGCAATCTCATGTTCCCTTTAAATTAAGACTCTCCTTCATGACATTGATATGAAATTACTATCTTAATCCTAGTTTATTTATGAATATAAAATTAAAAATAAATTAAAAAGTAATAATTACAACTTATATTTATAATTTTATTTGCCTAGTATTATAATAAGAATATGATCATTTCGTTAGTTCGAATTATAATTCAAGTTTTTACTACAATATTTTCTCTTATAAAAATTTAAATTCATCTTTTCCTGCTATAATATTTTTTTCTCACATAAACTCATTTTTTAACTCAAGTTCTTAACTAGAATAGTGAAAGGAATGGGGCCTTAGTCTAAATATTGCTAACTTTAATGCAATAAATATATACTTTATTTTATTTATTAAAATTAATGATATATTTTAATTTGGAGTGATTCTAATTTCGAATCATGCACTAAGTAAATAATTGAATTTATTTTTTAACTCAAGTTTTCAACTAGAGAAATAAATGGGTCTTAGTATAACTATTGCTAACTTTAATATAAAAATATGTTCTTTATTTTATTTATTAAAATTAATATTATATTTTAATTTAGAGTGATTCTAATTTTGAATCATACACTAAATAAATAATTTATTCTAATTTTGATTTCTCACTCTAAATTTTACTTATTCTGAATCTTATGCACTCTAATTTATATCTAATCCGACTACCTGTAGGTAAACATACGAGTAGTGTATACCATCTTTAATTGAATCCAAGATAGAATTACATGAAGGTGACAATTCCAAGAAACCCAAAAACTGTAAATTAACGAGAAGATGGAATTCTCGAGATTCTGTTAAGTCAAATTAGTTAATTGATTATAGTCTGAAAATCCTAGGACAAACGTTGTTTGACCGTGTTGGCCTATTTTGCCATTGGTTTTGCAACTCTCAAAAAGAAAATTCTCTTCCTCCGATGTTCAAAGTTTGCCAAGACGTTGTTATGAGTCCCACAAATTATGTGTGCGAGATTTTTAAATCCTTGGTTTTACTTTCAACCGTTGTGAATTTCTAAGAAGAAATCTAATTAGTTTTAATGAAAAGGACCATACGATTTTTAGAATGATGCTAATCACAAATCAGATACATTTGATGTTTATGAAATTAATAATTTTTAGAGAGATGTAGTAAAGAAAATCATACCATTCAGAACATATATCTTATTAGAGCACTGTACATTATAATAATACATTAATATATAATGTTTGATGTAACTATTATATTATATAAATTAATATGGATGGTAAATTAATGCGGTTTATGTCGTATTATAAAATACAACTCATTTTGGCGTATTATATTGTATTATTTATAATGGATCGGTCGGGTCGAAATAGGATCATGCCAGAATTTATAATTGTTGAAGAGTCAGAATGCAAATCCGTCAATTCACACAT